GACCACCACCAGCAGTAAGACAAATGTTTAAAAACAAAGATGAAATACCAAAAAATCTTCAGTCAAATATAATCTATCAAGTGAATTGTAGCTCTTGTTCAGCCTCATATATAGGCAAAACAACCAGACAAGCTTGTTCAAGATTAAAGGAACATGGAGCTCCAACAGAAATACCAGTAGAACATACAAATGAAAATCTTAGACGCTCAGCAAGAATTGCTGCTATGTATGCTAATAATAATGCACGAATTTCATATTATGAGTCGGATAGTAGTGAAGATGATATTCCTAGTGCCACATATACATCAGCAATTAAGCGTCATATCACTTCAACTCAACATAAAATTGATTGGCATAATTGGAGTATCTTGGATAAAGACAAACATCCATATAGATTACTTGTAAAAGAAAGTCTAGCCATAAGTGAAAAATCACCTGCATTAAATTTAACCACAAGATCAGTATCTTTAGTTGTATATCCTGAAGGTCGTGCCATTAGACGAACAAGCCAAAAGACATCTCAATAACTTCCACTAAATACAATACCTATCCATCACGATTCTTACACAATAACTAATGTAACATAACGTTCAAACTCATTCCTATTGTATGTTTCACATGTTCAATACATACTCTTCTCATCTTAAACCTGTAACATTTCTTACTCATATTGTTAACTCTTTTCTGACTCATTTCTCATTTTACTTGTAATTCTCATTGTACTTCTCATCTTACTCGCATTTCAATCACAACGCTCTTACATTACACTCACTTGTATCTAATCTTCTACACTTTGTTATAATTGTCGCTAAAGTAGTAATAATCAATGTAATTGTCATATATCAATCCCACTAATTAATGTATATGTGTATATGTGTATATGTATTATTAACAATATTGTATTTTACTCTATTCATTTAAATATGCAATATTTCTATTTTTTCTGTAAAGTTCAATAGCTGATCCCATACTTAATTATAATTTACTCCTGTCCTATACTATTCTATATGTTATATTTTGTTCTGTTAAATGATTGCTTCCCATGTACCTTTACTTGAAAATGATAATAAATTTATCGAAACGTCGTAAAATGACGAAAAACTAAAAACTATTTGTCTTTTTATTTATTTAAGCTGCTGTAAAAACTATTTTTCATATTACTCAATTTTTTGCCCATGAATCAATATAATAGTCAGACGAAGGAAGATAAATAACATACATATCCTACCAGTATCATCGTCTTGCCGTCACACTAATATACGATTAACATCTGAAAATACAATAAAATAAAAAAGGAAAGTTAAATTTACATACTTAAACGTCTGATGAAGACAACTTTGCTTGTGGAAACGTCACAAATGAATTTTTCTTTTCAAAGTTTTATAATTTTATAATTTATTATAATTCAATTTACTTTATTACATTAATTTATTTCATACATTTAAATGTATACTAATTAAATTAATTGAATTAATTAAAAAGTTTTGAAACATTAAAGTTAAAAAGGAAATAACAAATAAATAATGAAGAGCAACATAATTAACCAATGATCAAAAAGATTCTTTGCTTCGGTTTTCATGAACAAAATGAAAAAAAATATTATATTAATATATTTGGTTAAATATATTTAACATGATCTTATTCACAGACGATCATTTGAATGAAACGCTTTGCGTCCGTTATCAAAGCCTAAAAATAAAAGAAATAATTTTGAATATATTTTTTTATTGTTTTCTTTTTCATTTATTTCGAACATTCCACTCTCAGCTGAAACTCTCATGTAAACTGTGACATATACAAAAGAACGTATAAAAGTACGTTCGAAAGGCCGTAAGAGAACGAACTTGCCATAAAGAACGTATAAAAGTACGTTTGCAAGGTCATACGAGAACGAACTTAACACAAAAAATGTATAAAAGTATGTTTGAAAGGCCGTACGAGAAAGAACGCATAAGTGGATGTATAGAAAAGGATGTGGAGAAATAAATAAAAATAAAATACTGTTGTATTGGTTTATGTAGGATTCAGACGTATTTTAGATTCACCTGGGAAAAGCTTGTCGTTTTTTTTCATAATCATTTTGCAGAAAAATCATAAAGCGGATTATATACTCACTTGTATCCAGATATGCATTGTCGTTTATTCAACAATTAAGAGAAACAATCTAGAATTGAATATGTAATACGTTCGAATTCCTCCATGAAATATCTAAAATCGAAATAGACCAAGATGAACACTATATAAAGTTTTCATGAAGAATTTCCGTAAATTTCTGTGCATCATATTTAACTAGAATAGATCTAAAAAAAATATTATTGTTGTCATTAAGCAATAGATATTATCAGTTTAATGGGAAATTTTACAGACAAAAACAGAAGTTATTCATGGATAACAACAATATCACACAATCTAGCTAAACTTAACATGGGCGAATGCATGAAGTAAAATCGTTTAAAACATACTTTACTTTTTAAGTTCCGAAGGTATGTCAATGACATTTCTCTAATAACCACAATGAATGAATAATAAGTTGAAATATATGTTCGAGTTCTTTATCAAATTAAAAATTAAATTTCATTCGCTTATGAAGATGAAAGAAACAATACCAATATTTTTCTCGATACGACATTGTCAAAAGACAATGATAATACAATTAGTATCGATGGGTATATAAAACACAAAGCATCGATAGACTATTTAGCTACCAATCTCATCATGAACAAACTAAAAAAATTAATATTATTTAAAACCTGGTATCGTAAGTAATTGAGACAACAAATAATTATAATAACGAACAGAATAATATAAATTCATTTAAAGGAATTTCTATAAATTCGAAGTACCCAACACATATCATCGATAAATCCAATAAAACTATAATAAATGAAAATGATATAAACAACGAAATGAAATACCAAATTAAAATTAACATTTGTACATGGAATAAGAGAACTAAAACGAAAATTAGAACAATTAGAAAGTAAACTATTTCTCTCCTACCCTAATAAACTTCATACAACACTTACGAATCCAATTGAACTAAAAACCGGATCGAATATTTATTAGGGTGTGTGGATTGAAGACTTTATACAGGAGAAATAAACCTTCATTTAAGTAAATGAATATCACAACATAAAGAAAAAATTAAAAAACGTGACGTTAAATCCAATTCGAAGATTGTATAACACCATCCAGATCGTACATATGAATACATATTAGATTCGGATAAAACACTTGTCATTGACAATGAGATACATGAAAAAAAAACAATGAATCGAAGAATATCTTTATCCGACAATGAACAAGTCAATAAATCATCAGGATAACATTTATACATAATAGTTCCTTCTACTAAATGAAGCGTGTGCAATAAAAAAAGAGTTACAGAAAGAGGATGGGGGAGGAATTCATCTATCGTGAGAATGCAAGATGGCGATCGAGGAACGGAAGAAGACCAGCAATCCATTTGTCCTATCAGTTTCACCATCTTGCCGTTCCACTATCTTACGGTTGATATTCGTAAGAAAAGCAAAAGAAATTAAAATACCAAAATAAATATATTCATACACAACGCCTGAACAAGATAAATTCAATCATGGAACCTTTATGTCATTATTTTGTTCAAAGAACTATTATATAAATATTATAATTAGTTAAATGAGTTGTTTTTATTTCATTTTAATTTTTAAATCAAGGCATACCAAAATAAATATAAAGAATGAAGACTCAAAGGATACAATTGATTAAAGAGAAAATATTCGAGAAAAGAGAAAAACAAGTCATGCTTTGATTATATGCATGTGATTGTTTTGCGTATATTGTGATGTATTGCCTTTTCGTATTAGTATTTTCTATCTGCACGAAGGATGAATTAGAGAACAAGCAAAAGAAAGGTAAAATTTGCAAACAAGAAAAAGGATGTACTTTTTGAGAATAAGCTCCCCGTATGTCAGGTGCATTATGATAAATAATTGTTTGCTGTTTAATGAGTATTGTATATCTATAAGGAGAAGAAATGGGAGAACAAGAAGAAAAAATGGAAATTTCTAAAGAAAAAAAGACAAGCTATAGTGTGAAAATATCATGATCGTTATTTCGAGCTTACTTCGATGCTCATTGGTTATTATATGTAGGGCTACTCCCGGCCTATACAGACGACGAATGGGAGAATAAGTAAAGCAATGGTTAAACTTCCAATTGAAGAAAGGAAAATATAAGAGAAAATTATTTTTATCATTTTTCGCGATACGGTTCGATGCGCAAAGGAAAGTAGATTTTCCAAGTATATATACTCAAGATTATGCTTTAGTTCAAGCACAGAAAAACGTCGACTTTTAAGTGGTGCTCTTGTCGTGATTAAGAAATATTATCTACAACTACAACAATAAAATGTATGTATATGTGACACTGTATTCTCTTTAGGTCGTTGTTGTAATAAGTATACAGGAGACTTTTCTGCGCTAAAGTAGTATCATTTACAATGTATAGTGTTATTTTCTTACCATGGTAGAATCATCTCAGAGTGTGAGTAGAAAAAAATCGATGTGGCAGGTTTTCAGAGCACGAAAATATCCCATAAAGCTGAGTATTTCAGATAAAATTGAGTTCAAAGAAGAGAAGCTCTGTGATTGAAATAAAAATGAGGCAGGAGGAGAAGGAAGGCTGTAGAACTATTCACCCACATATAAATGCATATAAGCCTTTTCTTCGAATGCGAAGACTGAACAGTGTAGATGTTTGGAGATTTATTCATTTATATATGTAAGGCACCACAAAAGCAAAATTAAAACAGAATTTCGTCTATATTTGCATGGTGAGATGGATTGTGAAGAGCTGATCAAGAATATATGTTTTTCTAATTAGATTTTAGGGCGAAGATTCCAGTTTTCGCCGATGACCTACTTGTTATGAAAAAAGCTCAATTATCAATACCTGAGAAATAGTCAGTTTTTTTCTTTCCTATGAATTTGAAAACTTTTTCTTTCAAATTTAACGTGAAAATCTGAATCTATGAAAGTCGTTTATAAAAGACTTTCTTGGATTTCGTTTTGACACTAAATCTGAAACAAGCAGTTTTGAAATTCAAACGACAGAAAACAATTCACAAGCTTTTAGTTAAAAATAATTCAACTGTTTTAAATAATCAGTTGATTATTCAGCGAAAAATTAAATCTCTCTTCAGCAATCAATTGAAAAGAAGAAACATGTATAGTCCTGTTCAACTATTCAGATTGTATCTAACCATATACAGATATATGAAAGTCAGCTTTTAGTTTTGATATCTCTGCACCTGGTACAAATGAATGATTCCAAAAACCTCTTACTACCCCATTCAGAAAACAGAGGGTATAACTATATACATAGGTAGTGCTGGTCAAGAATATAATGATATATGCATTCAGTCGCACTCTATTCAAAACCGAAGTAAGATTTCTTCATGTCTCATGTTAGACCCAATAAAAGACATTTTTATTAAAAAAATCGCATCTTTTGAATATCACTAAAAAACGCTAGTGTAACTTACTCT